TGGAAAAGAAAACGTTGCAACCTTTGGCCCATTTTTGTAATTGCCATTACAATTTGGCACACAACATTTGAAAGGCATTGCTATAAAAGAAATACATAATTTCAATAATAAAGAAGTATGATCCAAATCTAACCTATTATTGTCAGTTTTCTAAATACGTTTATAATTCGGTAAATTAATAAAATTATGACTTACCTCAATAATACAGGCATTCAGCAACTATCCACAACAAAAAATTATTACTAAAACGCACTACACTGTTCAAAAATTCGCGTTTTACATTACAAGACTGAACGACAAATGGCCTACTAGTGATGACGTCATGACTTCAGTGGAGAGGCCTTGTATATAGGTGGTGTTGGTTTGAACGACCCAAGATTGGTTAATGACGTCATTGCAACCTCTCCACCAATGAAAGACTTGCATTTATAGTAAAATAGTGATTGATCAACCCTAGATCGTTCAAACCCCGTTTATTCGAAAACGCTATAAGCCTATGCATTGAAGATTAAAGATTGAAATTTGACCAATCGAAACAAAAAAAGCTAAAAATTCTTTGTCCCGATTGATCAAATTTCAATCTTCAATCTCATTTATTAATTTTTATAAATAAAAATTGAAAATCTAACAATAGGAATTAAAAAAGTGATTGAGAAACAATCCAAATAACACAAACACATTTTATAAACATTCTATAAATATTTGTTGAAAATATTAGAATATTCTTTCAATGTACTAAAAGATGTTCTTTAAATCTTTATAGAACGTTCAAATGAGACCAATTTTAATATTCCAGATAGGTTAAAAAAATATTCTTTATTATATTTCAGGAATATTCAGAGAAGATGTTTAATATCATGTAAAGAACATTCATATTCTGAATATTCTACTGAATATTCTACTAAATTATTTTTAGTATTCTAAATATTTATGCAATTACATTGATATAAAAAAAGGTTTAATCAACTTTACCAATATTAAATGTTAAACAAAAGTTTTTATTGTTATAATTTTTTATTCCAATAATATGTTTAAAAATAAAAATTGATATTTTTAACAAAATAATTACATCTGTAAAATTGCACACATTCTTACAATAAAATATATAATTCTAAGCATGCTGTGGTTCCTCTTTTAATGTGAAACCGTGTGAGCTTCGGCGGACGCGGAGTAGCTCGCCGGAATCCGGGTTCGGTCGGTTGGGGATATGTCAAATAAACCAAATGCTCGTTTATAATAAAAGTAACAAAACAGCGTTTATTAGAGAAAGATGTTGATATGACTTGCTTCAAATAATCTGCTTCAATGTTCGTGTGTACATGCGAAGCGGGTGCGAAGCGATTTCGAAAGAGTATACAAAATAGAAAAATATCGGTGCGATCGGTGTACTAACAACGGTGAAATAATTAGTTAAGCAAACAGCGAAATGATTCGTTAAAGCGGTCGGGAAATGATCGTACAAGTATCGGTGAGATTGGTATGAGTAACGGTGAAGCAATTATTTAGACGGACGGCGAAATAATTATCAAAGAGGCGTAAAATAAATCTGGAGTATCGGCAACGGTGTAACAGTTATTTAAACGGACGGCGAAATCTTATTAAAGCGGCGTAAAATAAGTCTGGAGTACCGGCAACGGTGAAACAATTGTTTAAGCAAACGGCGAAATAATTCGTTGAAGCGGCGTGAAATAAATCTGGAGTATCGATAACGGTGTAATAGTTATTTAAACGGACGGCGAGATATTTATTAAAGCGGCGTAAAATAAGTCTGGAGTACCGGCAATGGTGAAACAATTGTTTAAGCAAACGGCGAAATAATTGTTTAAAGCAGCGGTGAATTGATCATTAGAGTTTGACGTGAGGCGTCTTGGTACGATCAGAGAGAGCGCAAGCGCGGGCGATCGTGTCGCAACGGTTGGTACAACGCAACGCTCGTCGGTGAGTGCGTTTGTGACGGTATCGCGAGTCCGTTCGATCGTAGATCGTGACGGGTCGCTTGACGGCGCGGATTGGTCGACGCAGTTTGCCCGCTGGATTCTGCGGATGAATCCCTGGTGCGCGGCAACGCGAAATTAGGACCATGACGTCGAGTAAGCTCGACGGGAGTACGAGGATGCTCGTACGAAGGCGGAGTTTAGAACGGCGACCTGGCTAGGTACGCGGGAATGCCCGCAATACGAAGTTCGGTGGCCTAGAGGAGCCGAGTACGCTCGACGGGGTATACGAGTATGCTCGTATCGGAGATAGAAATGGTATCAAGAACGCTCGTGTACCTGGAATAAGGCATATAATCCGAGTATGCTCGGTCGGACTACGAGAACGCTCGCAGCAGGATTGTTTGCTGCCGAGGCAGCGAACCGGGTCTGGTGAGAAGCAATGCTGCCAGAAACGAGCAATGCTGCCAGAAACGAGCGGCGGCATCACACTAATACAACCGAGAACCGATGACGTCACCCTATCCGTGTGAGCTCGACCCGGTCGACCAATGGAAGAGAACGCCGTCTCCCTTCCACCGAGCCGACGCAACAGACGATAAATGCTAAGAAGTAAGTGTTTCTAAGGCATGTGGCTGGAATATGAAAAATCCCGTGTTCGAGATTTGCTTCTCGCAACTTTCTTTTCTTTTTTCCGCATTTGTTTCTAAGACTGCTTTCACATGAGGCGTAACTTGCGTAAGCGTAATTTATGTCAGTCAATCAAATCATTCAGCTATCATATGCAAAATTTTACGTATAGTATCTGAACGATTT